AGACAGTCTCCAAAAGCCATCATGGATTATCTCTCTAAGCCCGGGTTGCTCAGTGTCCTCGCTGGAGTTGCGTGCGGAGTGTGCCTGGGATGGGGCATTCGCGGGAGGCTTTTAAGGCAGCCCAAAGCCGGGATTGCGACCAACCTGGGGAGCGAAGCTAATGTCATGGGCGAGTCCGGGGAGTTCAAGATGGTGCTGATTGTCCGCAATGATTTGAAGATGGGCAAGGGTAAAGTAGCAGCGCAGTGTTCCCATGCTGCTGTTTCTGCCTACAAGCAAGTTCAGAGAAGAAATCCTGAGCTCCTGAAACAGTGGGAGTACTGCGGCCAGCCTAAAGTGGTCCTCAAAGCTCCTGATGAAGAGACTTTGATCCAACTCCTGGCTGACGCTAAACACCTCGGACTGACTGTGAGCTTAATACAAGATGCGGGTCGTACTCAGATAGCTCCAGGCTCCCAGACAGTCCTTGGTATTGGACCGGGACCAGCTGATGTAGTAGATAAAGTTTCTGGTCACCTGAAACTCTTCTAAAATTGGGACCAAAGAGAATGTGAATGCATTGGTTTATTTCAGTACTGAAGGGATAAAATGTGTACATTCTCACTATAAATAAAATATCTTTTTTTTTTTTTTAAGAGATTTAAATTTACAAATCTTGAGTTTCTCTAGCTTCTCTGTTGTGTTCTAAAGTAGGAAAGAAAATGCTGGGCTCAGTGGAATTAAGGAGAGCTAGCAAATACCCATAAGAAAGAACCCAGGCTTGTGCAATTAACTAAGGATTTTGCACTTTGTCTGGTTTACTGGCTGAATAGAAGCATTAATAAAGTTTTAAGTGAATTTGTCCCATGGGTTAAAAATTACAGGTTCCCCCTCTCTACCTTACAGGAGGGTTGTTTTGTTTTTTTTAAAAAAAAAGATAATTCTTAATTTGGAAAAGCTCAGCTGCTGAAGCAGCTCAATTGCCCCATGCAGCTGGGGGTAGCTGTAGCCAACTTCCTGCACAAACGGTTTCTAGCAGAGCAGCTGATGCAACAGCTTGTAACTGGTATGAGACCGACCAAGTTTAGCAGGCTCTGCAGGCTGTAAGCTGTGCTCCTTTCTGGATGTGTCTGTGTAGCCACTACACATGCAGGAACCTGCAAGCAGGTCAGCATGCCCAGTTCAGCCGAGGTAGTTACCCTACAGCTAAACGGGTTGTCATACAGCAACTAACGTAAACCCTGTTTTATGGGGGATTAACAAGGCTTCTTGGGTTTAAGGCTGCTACTGGACAGAGGTCAGATCATGCTGGTCCTGGCTCACACGTAAACTTGACCCTCGCAGCCCCTCTGTAGCTCTAACACTGTTAAACCCTGCCCTTGAATTAGACTTTCTACAAGGCAGTTTTGTAACAGCTCTTTTGTGAGAATTCTGCTGTTGAACACATCTTCCAGCCTCGCGGCCAGGTCTTCTTTCTGTTCTTACACAATGTATTTCATAGGAACTCAGCTGGATTTGTACCTATCAAACTCACAGACCCCGAGGAGCATCAGAGGGGCTGACATGCAAGCATAAGCAAGTGTAATAAACACAAAGAACGCAGAAGTTTTTATCCTGTACCTCCTGTTTAGGCATTGTAATTCTACATACTGCTCACTGCCGACTTCTGCTCCACCACGCCCTTGAACAAAGACCTACAGCCTGCGGCAGGCTGAGCCCCCCTAGAGGCTGACACCCCCCCTTACACACGGAACTGCTGCAGGGCGCCACCACAGGACCGTGGAGTCACGAGCGAGCAGGAAGGGGATTCGGCCTCAGAGCTGGAACCTGACAGTGAGGATGGCTCCGGGTTAAGAGACGGAAGCTTCTACAGCTACCACCAATACGGCCAGTGCTGTAGTACTTTTTACACTCAAATATGACAGTATTCATAGAGAAACATTTAAGTCAATTTTATTTGAAGCTAAATATATTTAAGGCAACTTACATACCTAGAACATTATCTCAATTTAACTGACACACCCTACTACAATCCTAATGTATCACCTGGTCAAATACGCTGTAGTTGACAACACAGCCAACTATTGAAAAGTGCTATTTTCTTCTCTCTGGCATAACCTTTCTACAGAAAAAGCGTTACATATTTTCTTGTATTGCCCCCTCAGCACGAGACCCCACTGGTGGTCTCCATTGCTGCTCTCCTACTGGCCCCTCATACCCTTGAATGTAAGCACTTGCATGCCCCACATACTAGCACTGTAATACTTGGTTCGAGTGCGAAGGTCCGTTTCGAAGACAGTAAAGTGAAGCTACCACTATGCAGCATGTCCACAGTCCAGTAATTTATTTTTAAATTGAGTAATTTCAAATTGCACAAACAAAACTGAACAGCAATATGCTTGAATTCTCTCTTCTGTACACTCAAAACAGTGATCTAAAACACCACAATATCCAACATACACAAACCTCAGGGCAGGGTTAGTAAATACACAGATTGGAATCATGGTGCTCTGTTCCTGAATGGAATGTCCCACAAAAGCACAGGATACAGCACAACATAAGGTCATCTGTTACATATGGAGTGAGCAAAAAGACACTAGCATTTTCTATATGCATAACTGGAAAAACCTGCATAGGTTAAGGAAAAAAAACAAACCTTTTACTCATTTTAAGTCAGGCAAGGTTGTCTGTACGCATTTTAAATTCTTTTAGAGCTATGCAATCCAACCAGGGTAGGATATGCTGATTAGTGTTGTCTCTTGTCAGCAGTCTTGCAAGGTCAAATACAAGTATCTTCGCTTTAGCTTTCTCCGAATATACAGTGAGACTTAAATGCGTTTAGAATAGACAGTACATACTGTAAGCTGCTCACATACAAGGAACTTAAGATTCAATATTAGAGTTTAACACTATAGAGTGCAAATCAGAATCTTCACAATAGACTTAATGGTAATAAGCAGTCCTGCAAAAGCCCACTTGAACAAAGTCGTTTAAACTATTCCCCTTTTAAAGTAAAGTCTAAATGACATGGAATGTGAAAAAGATTTAACATAAGTGATTCAAATAGTTTGCGCTAGAAAAAACAGTCCTTCATGAAATAAAGGTTACAAGAACACGAGGCAGAACTCTTGCTTTTCCCTGTTATGAGTTAAAGCGGGGAGGGACGGTGGAGTTTCAGTAAGAAAATACGCTAGCTCCAAACGGACTTGTGCTGCATCTTACATGCTGTACCCAAAGCCAGGCTGCGGTTGCCCATACGGAGGTGCAGTGTAGCCATAGCCAAAAGGTGCTTGTGGGGGAACTGCGACACTGGGTCCTGCTGTCAACATTAGCTGCGGCTGACCTGGAAGACAGAACAGTTTCATCTTTATTCCTCGGTACTGAGAGTTAGTTAGCCAGCAGAGTTCCTGCAACCTCCCTGGAGGCATCTGTACGTTTAATAACTCCCTAGTAGGAGCTAGAACAACCTCAAATCCTGCAGCCCATATCCCATCTTAGCAGCAGCATGAGGGATGTACTCTATCTAGTGTTTCGGAACACATTCCCCTGCAACTTGATTTCACATGAAGAACGCTCCCGTTTCCAAGGACTCTCCTGGGAAAAACCACATCTAGGGAAGCGTTGATTTACAATCGAAACGTGCTCTCGACAACACACGAGCTAAAGCGTTACCATAAACGATAGGTTGTGTTTCCGTAGCTTGCTCCTCTTCCTTCCTCAAAGACTCTGACGCATCCAGTTTATCCACCTGGAATTGAGACCAACAATTAAAAAAACTCCTCTGAAAAAGGTACTCATTCATGGCAGAGAAGTGGAAAAGCCTTAGTGGTATGTTAACACCCATCAAGAAAAGGAGACCATTTACAAGTTAAGATCAATTCAAGTAGCAATGTTGGTACTGGTGCAGTCAAGATTGTCCGTTTCCTGAAAGAAACCCTAATTGAAGGATTTGTGGAACTTCTTTGAAAGCTCACTCCAGGCTGAAGCTTTGTATGAAAGGTCCCAGACTGGCCTAGAGCTACTTTGACATCAGTAAGCTCATCAGCAAGTGCTGCTCCAACTGCTTCAAACCAACAGCTTTAGGGCACAAACTTGGATTTCAGCACAATGTCAGCTGGAGACCTTTGGTGCTGGAGCAATTGCTAAGATAATACCCAGACCTGGAGAAATTTCCCTGAATATAACATTGAGGCAAAGTAATCTGAAGTTGGTGTTCGTATACGGCAGACTGCAATAGCATCCGACATGTCACTTGAGCCTCAAGATTTCACTTTCCAAACCCATTCACTCATGCAATTTAAGTTCAAATGCAGAGAATGCATGTGTATAAGACTTGCTTTTTTCCACTCTAGAACTGTGTGGCAGTCAGCCTAAACCCACAAATACTCAACTTGTTCGAGCTTAACACACAGTAACAAGACAAGACTAGCCAGCTTCGCTCTGCTGCACAGCAAGTGCATTTGTGCTGTTAGCCCACCCCTACAGAAAGGCAAGAGAAGAAACTCGTTCTATAGTGAAATATCACTTGTTACTACAAAAGATCCAAGGAAACTCGGCAATACTACAGAGTCTAAGGCAGTCCCTGAAACTAAAACCACAAAAATTAGGTATTGATATTTTACCTGGGAGATAAGATTTAGAACAAAGTCAGAGACGATCATGCCAATTACTTTTTAAGACATTAAGACAACCCACAAACCAGATTAGTCTTTCATTTTGTTTGTGTCCTTAACAGAGGAGTTTGAAGACAGGGTTCCTGTACTTACATAGGGTCAGCATTACTTACTCAGCTACACCAACATCCATGAGTTGTACAGTTTTCAGCTTAACTGTGCTACATTTGCAAATATTTGCAAGCAATTCTAAGGGCTTTCTTCTGCTTAGTTGTGAATTACAACATGTGTTCCATAAACCTGTCAATTTGTAACCTCGGTTAGAGGTGTAACTCCAGGAAGTGGCATAAGTCCTGAGCTTTGAGTTCATTCATTGCCTGGGCTTTCACGGCAAGCCTTTTTGTTGCCTCACACCAGAATCTGGCTTGCTGCTGTCAAAGTGCATGGGAGTGCACGCCAACACTTCAAGATTCATTTCCAGACACCGTGCTGAGAACTGCACTGTTTTTAACTCAAATAGCAACACACTGAACACAGAAGCACAGGTTTAGAGATGCAAATCCAAGGAGAATGTGCAGTTTGCTACTAAGCAGAGGCATTTGGCTTACACACTCTTGGAAAGCCTCCAGCCCAGGACATTTAATGCATTTTGGACACAGTTTTGATGCCTCCCCTGAGAGCGAAACATATATTTACAATAACAAGCACAAGTTTGAAACCAGCCTGCAGGATGGTTCTTACACCACTTGCTTGAGCATCACCAGGTTCAGTACCCTACACGCTTGTAGCAAGATTGTTTTAAAGGCTTTTCCACAGGGACTGCAATAAGCTGCAGAGGAAAAGTAACATGCATTCAATGTTATCGTGTTATGTGTGCATGAAAAAGAGGCAAAAGTACTGAAGCAAGAGTGAGGTCTGAAGATGACTGCCATACAGGCT